ATCCCCGAACTTAATGAGTATACCGTCGGCGATTACACCTGCCAAGCAATTATCACCTCACCCACTGGAGGTCCACTGACGGTTAACGTAACCAAGCCCATCTATTTCGCCATAGTGCCTTCGCCAGACCCCGCGGGTAAGTTCCTATCTTCATGCCTTATATTCTGTTGTATCAGGGAGTAAAATATTTGAAATTGTACTTTTTCGTTATCAGCAGAAGATCTCCCTTGATGAAGAAAAATCCGCTGCTCTCCACTGTACTGGAATAAACGAAGCAGGTGCCAGATCCCTGCCTGGATCCCTACCACAAACGGTGTCACCACTTTTAAACATACAACCAGATGATTATTCGGTATTTATGTTTGCCCAAGAGCGTCATTGTGTTTTTAGTCTTGAAGGCTTGCCCTTCTTCTGACATTCAGCTTACCGACAATAAACTCCTCATCGCTCATAGTGATGGCCTGTGAAAGGCTGTGTGGTTACTCAGTGTGTGCAGGTTCCTTTAAGGGACTCGCAGTGCAGTCAGCCGCAGTTTACCCCTTCGTGTTTTAGATAGCAACTGCCCCTTTTTTCAACACCATCTTTGTGGCTCTGAGATTAACCGCGTTGCCCATTTGGAAAATTTGGGCAGTAGCCTCTTAGAATTCTTTCCTAGGTCACACAAATAGCTTATGTTCGTGCCTGTGCACTCCGAGAATGCCTTCTGTCTGACCTGTGTATTTATAAGGACGTTTTAGGCATAATATATTTCGGTGTTTCTTCTTCATATCCATGATATATGTTCGGTCACTGACTAATATCGACACGTAGTCGCTTGTGTCGCTTCCCTCAACGTATATCTGCCTGACATTGCATTCCATATCATGGATAGTGTTTTCCGTGACACCGGGTGGCTATCACGTAGGCAGTGGTTTACAAACACTTCGTATAAGTGTCCTCACATAGATTTTCTTCCGTTTTACCGAAGTGCGTCCAAATCTGTTAAAAGTATTTTTACACATAGCATAGTCGGTGTGCAAACTGAGAAGCTGTGCGGTGTTCGTTGCCTTCGTGTTCACTATTGTCGCTCGGTCGTCATTGGCATTTCGCATCCCAGCGCATCAAAGAAGGCCTATCGCTGCTCTTGTTTATCCTCTTATGTAAATTGCATATCCCAGAAGATTGGGATGGACCAATAACAGAAATTTTTCGGCACATTATTTCCTGATTATGCGAATGCGTCATCGAAGAAACGGCGCCTAATGAGCGGCTTGTGCTGGATACAGTCTAGTTCTTGTAGGAAATGTTCTGCCCCTAACTTATTATCTGTGCTCAGTGATTCGTTAAACGTCTCACAAACGGAAGAAAGTTATTCATTTGAACCAGTTTCGAAAAAATCTGTGACCTCGGTGGGATTCAAATCCTGGGGAGCCAGCGAAGGCTTAATGACAACCAACGCTCCAGCCAACTGAGCTATCGGTGCCCCACTGGGAGCTGTGACGTTAATCACACGTGGGTCGGTGTACCGTCCAGCCTAC